ACACTCTTCAGGGGCAGCCCCATGTAGTGTGTGTTGCAGTAATCCAGTCTTGAGGTGACGAGGGCGTGAGTGACCATTCAAAGTGCCTCCCGGTCCAGATAGGTCACCAGAATCAGAGGTTTTGTATTCTGAGCTTTTGGACACATACTGTAGTTCATCCTCAGGGAACTTCACTCTACCAAAATGGGCATAAGAAGTATCCTGAGAATGGGCTCCAGCACTAGTCTAAAAGCTTGGAAGACTAAACCTTTTGTTCCGGTGACCGACTCAGATTGAATCCTAAGGAATGTTCATGCTATCTGGCAGACAAAGTCCCTCAAGTTAGCGTGGGATTGCTCAGGATGAAATAGCACATTAAATATTGTTTCATGTTTTGCAAAGCCAATGATTGCAGCTAAGAACAAATGGTCAACAAGGAAATGGATTCCTTCAGCCTTTCCGGGGAGGGGGGGAGGGGATGAGATTGCTCACATTGCACTATATATAATTGCAAGCATTTTATTGGGCCCATTTATAAGATGTATGCTAACGTTCAGATTTTTCTTTTAACCACAATTTTACAAATATAGCCAGAAAAATGCCATTTAATATGTTGTATTGTTTTGATTTTTTCTAGTGTAAGACATATGCCTGTGTTTTGGAGAGTCATCTTATGGGGCTTACCATAGACTTTGGCATGGGCTTTGTATGCTTTGATGCTGCAACAAAGGTAAGGACACAAGAATTATATCAGTGCTCCAATCCCAAGAATCACATGATGGAGCTATTTCAGTGATTGATGAATGAAAATAAATAAAAAATGGTGAATAGTCAACATGTGATGCTATGGTAACTTGTACTTGAAGAAGGCTTTTACCAAAAGGTGCCAAGGTGAACATGTTGGAGAAAGTACTTTTAGTGAGAGAATCATGTGTCAGGAAGAAAAAAAATCAAGAAAATTGATTGATTTAAAAAAAAGATGATAAAATCATATGCAGATCTTTTTTTAAAAAAATGGAATTGTGAAATTATTTTTTTGTAATCTCAACATCTAACTTGTTCTAGTTAAAATACACCTTCTGAGACTATGACCTATAGCTGTGATGGCAAATCTATGGCACCTGTGGCATGCGGAGCCATTTGATAGGGCACACGAGGCATTGCCCTGTGAGCTCCAGGGCGCATGTGCATGTTGGCCAGCTGACTTCAGCCTTCTTTAAAGGCCATTTTTTGCCCTCCAGAGGCTTTCCTGAATCCTCCGGAGGGCGAAAAACAACCCAACATGCAAATTGAAAGTTTGGGAAAATTAACTTTTGGTTTGCCCATAGACCCGTTTTTCACCCTCCAGAGGCTTCAGGAGGCTTCCCTGAATTCTCCAGAGGGCAAAAAATGGGCCTATGGGCAAACCAGAAGTCTGTTTCTGAACTTCCAGTTTGCCTGTAGAGCCGTTTTTCCCACTCTGGAGGCTTCAGGGAAGCCTCCTGAAGCCTCTGGAGGGCCTCTGGGGTGGGGGTGTGGGGAGGCTGTTTTCGTCCTCCCCAGGCTCCTAGAAAGCCTCTGGAGCCTGTAGAGGGCGAAAAACAGGTCCATTGCGTGCCAAAAGCAGGGGGAGGGAGAGCAGGGGTCACGCACATAGCATTATTGGTGTGGGCACACCCATGCATGACCTCCCCTGTGCTCCCCCCACTTTTGGCACATGACGGGAAAAAGGTTAGCCATCACTGACCTATAGATTTCTCCCATGTCTGAATCTAAAAAAAAAGTAGCAATGGATTTTATTTTCTCCTGCCATTGCAGAATATTTGAATAAGTAGAAAACAAGATATAAAATGCAAAAAGTGATCACAGCTAAAAAATATTTGCTTTGGACACAAGTACTATAAAGTATCTGATGTACACATCTATTCTTCTCTGGTCTTCTCCCCATTCTTTTTGGACTACTGACTATATTTGTAACCTTACTGCCACATTCTCCATAACCTAATGCAACGAATCCTGAATAATATAAAACTCTAATGATGAAAGAATGGATACTGCCTCCTAATCAGAGTACTCGTGATCCTAAGATGAATTTAAGAGGAAAAACATAGAAGATTGCTGAATCACCAGGAATCTGAGATGGACTGGCTTTGGTTTGCAATTTGGTCAGACTAAATTGAGCTACATTTTTCATCTTGCTGATTATTTCAGTTTATCAAGACCAGTTGCAAATATTTAATACAGTCATGTTTACTCTTTGTTATAAAATTGTAATACAGTAATGACTCCACAGGCTGATTCTCCCAGGTTGCTGTTCATGTTTGCCTTTGGCAATCCTCTTACTTCCTGAGGAGTTTGGATCCTCTTTCATGTGGTGCTGTACCCATCTCCACTCTCTTCAGGTGTAGGATGCAGTCATCCTTGATGGGAGACTTGTGTGGTTGTGCTGCCAAGTGTATATATGCAGTGCACCATAAACTTTCCTGCTTTTTCCTGACTTCCAGCATCCACTAGGTTAGAGTTATCGACAGGTTTGTTGCAACTCAAAAGTTTGTTAAGTAGAAACTATACTTGCCCAGGGAAACAAAATCAGAGCAGGTGCCTTTCCTTAACAATTAATTACTCTGACAACAGTGATAACTTCTAAAGGTTTTAGTCTAAGGTGCCTAGAATAGTTTCTTCTCTCTACCACAACTTAGAACAAATGACACAAGCTGAAATAGCTTTCTATTTATAGATTGCTCTCAGGATTAGGCGATATTGTTCTAATCTAGTGGTTTAGCAAAAAAAAAAAAAATCACTCTCCACATTAGTTAGAAATCAGGTTGTAGCTCTGCAATGGTAATAGCAAAGCAAGGAAGAGTCTATATTTTTTAAATGAAGGCAAATATACATGTCCCAAGTTAACGTTGCAGGATCCGATCTGGTCATTTGGACTAGTGGTTTAGTCTTCCAAGCTTTGGGACTCGTATTGGAACACATCCTCAGGAAACTTCACTCTCACGAAAATGTCACAATCTGGTAAGAGAAAAGTTAACCTGAGGATGGGTTCCAGCATAAGTCCGAAAGCTCAGAAGATTAAATCTCTGGTCCTGGTGACTAACCCAAATTGGATCCTGCAGCTTACATTTTGTGTCTTTTTGTGCTTCTTTCCTATAAAATGAAAACCAATAGCCACTTAGAGAAACTGTTTTGTTTGATGAAATCCATCTGATATGAAACTGTATGAACAGAGGATATTAATGTAAGCATATATTTGTAGCAGAGAAAATTTAACACAACTGCATTAATCATAATACCCCACTGGCACAACGTATTGATCAAAGAGAAATACCAGCGGCCCTAGCAGACAGTAACCATTAGATTCAGACTCAGTCCTTGAAATACTTTTTCTAGCCTTATGGCAACATGCTTTGCTTACTTACCTGAATCAAGTAATCCGTTTTGACAGGTCCATGACATACCCTAAACTCTCACATTACCATGATTACTGCAAGCTTGATGAGTGCTTTTCTGTTGATTTTGCCACTCCGGAAACATGCTTCAGGTCTTGTCAGGCAATACTACTAATTCTTCCAAACTACTTATCTGGCCTGAAGACTAAATTTGGTTTGGAGCAATCCATGGGGCACACTCTGTATCCCATTGCAACAGATGTGTATGCATTTGTGTCAGATTAAGTTTTTCTTAGAGCTGAGTTTTAAGAATTTCAGTTTCCACACTGAAACTGCATATTTGGTAAGTGCTTCTGTAATATCACTCAGCAAAGTGTTTTTCACTCAAGTTTTCGAACATTTTTATAAAGGAATAAAGCTCAAAATGTTTCAATTCTTCTCTCCCAGGGGACAATGGACACTTGAAATAGGCCTAAGTACTATCTACCATACTACTAAATACTACCTACCAGCCAGCCCAGAAAAAATGGCTAGTGTGATCTATAATTTTAGTAATATTTAAACTTTATAAACAGAGCTAAGTATGCTGTTTGCAGCTGAATGAAGACAGAACACAATCAACAGTAATGGATTTTCTTTTGCACAGCCCCCAAATAACACAACCATAGCAGGAATGCATTTCTCTGACAGCTAGAATTCTTTTCAGTTAATTTCTTGCCACCTAATAAATATTCAAGAAGAGATATGGAAATTCTTGTTTTAAATTCTATTTCATGTTTGAAGTACTTATTTGTTTTATTTATTTATTTATTTATTTATTTATTTATTTATTTATTTATTTATTTATTTATTTATTTATTTATTTATTTATTTNTTTATTTATTTATTTATTTATTTATTTATTTATTTATTTATTTATTTATTTATTTATTTATTTATTTATTTATTTATTTGCCAGCATACCATACATGGACTTCTTTTAGTTGCCATATATTTTGAGAACCAGAAAAGTCTATAGTTGCTAGTTTGTTTAGTTCTCACTGTCACATTATCCACAGTGCACCATAAGGAGGCGAACTAGCATCACACCCTAATAATATAATAATAATATAATCTTTGTTAGAGAACACAGTTCATTACAAAAAATTGCAAGTGAACTCTATTTAAACAATTAAAAGTTTCCCCAACTATAATTTTGATACTATAAATCCTGTCTACAGGATCCAAAATTTATGAATTATTGTGTATATGTTTCATTTTTATTATATTAGTTATGATTTAGATCTGTATTCAGATTGAGCTCTTTGTATTTTATTTAATCTAGTTTAATAATTTTAACCATGCAATATTACTCTTATTTGTTAATTTCTGTATTGCATTTATTGCTGTTCACTCATGACATATTTTGTTACATATTTCTTTTTTTTATTTGTAAAAAGCCATTGTCAATTTATTTTCCATCCACATCCTTCTGTTCTATTTTTTCATGCATTTCCATCTAATCAATATTAAATTCTTCCCAAAGTTCAAGTTTAACATAATAAATGTCTTTGACCAATTTGTCTAATGAACATGGCTTTATTCCCCTTGTAAATGTATTAGACATTAAATCCATCATTTTTCTTAATATTTGTATTCCTACATATTTTCCCCAGTCATTAGAAAAAAATAATTATTCACTGTTAACATATTATATGCTAAATCAAATTAAGTCAATTACTTACAAATCATTTCATTTATCTCGTAATTACTTACAAGTAGCTCAACAAATTATTTAAAAATTGTCTTTCAATTAATTTGCAACTAGCTATTTAATGGGTTTCAACATATTAGTGAGCTTTAATCAATTTCCAGGCACTTTAGTTTAAATTATTATATTTCAAGAATAAAAAAGCTAATTAAAGGTCTTGTTCAAATGTAAGTAGTTTACAGCTTATGAACTCCCATTCCATATATTTAATACTATGATTGTGTAGGATTATAGGTCTGTATTCATTAATCTTCTGTCACAAACCAATATAAGTAATCCTCAATTTATGACCACAATTGAGCCCAAAATTTATGTTGCTAAGTGAGAAATTTGTTAAGTGAGTTTTGCCCCATTTTACTACTTTTCTTGCCACATTTGTTAAGTGAATCACTGCAATTGTTAAATTAATAACACAGTTGTTAAGTGAATCTGGCTTCCCCATTGATTTTGCTTGTCAGAAGGTCGCAAAATGGGATCATATGACCCTGGGACACTGCAACCATCATAAATGTGAGACTTATTTCTTACTCACTGTAATAATATTTGGAGGTAGAAATACTGTGTGTTATCCAAAATCTGATATGAACATAGTACACCAGTTATTAT